GTGTGAAACTTTTGGATAAGTGGAGAAAAAGGCAGATTAGTTTACATGTCAACATTTGCTTTTTATTCATAATCAGATGCAAATTGGCTGTTTTTCTGTCATAAGTTATTTTTCTAACGATGCATTTGCTTTTAAAATAAACTCAAATTCAGATTAAGATATTTATTTATTATTAATTCCTGTTTTTTATGGCTCTTAAATAAACAGGACATTTTATAAACATACTCACAGTAACTGGGAAGTTGTTTCAGCTCAGTAGCAGCATGACAGATGCTGGTGGAGATATTGGAGGCAGCATCATGGAGGGATTGGAAATTTGAAAAAAGGTAAAAATGACTGTTGATATCTTCAGAAGCGATGGTCCTCAGTTCATCAAGGTCGCCCACACCTGAAACGAACATGTACTACTACAGCAGTGATCTAAGGAGGAAAACTTGCTCTACAATTAAACTGTATCATCCACAGAGGAAAGGAACGTTACCAATAACAAAGACCTCAACCCCAGTGTCTTTCAGATTATTTGCTGGGATTTCTACTTCGTCCAGAGACATTCCATCAGTGATCAGAACAGCAATTTTTTTTGAGTCTGGACGCATTCCCACCCCGGGTTTAAAGCTGTGATGAAGAATGAAACCTAGAGCTCGTCCTGCATGTTGTGAAGAAGAAAGAAATGTTTTAGGAATGGGTTTTACATGCCTGCAAAATAAAACAACAACATAAAAAAAACCCCATAAATAATCACATTTTAAATCTGATGATATTTTTATAAATTTCATCTACAGAATGCCCAGTTAAGATTATTTGTAAGAATATGGACTCAGGGAAAAGTCCAAAACTTTTGGATTTTAACTACTTTCATGTTGACAGTTTCTTACTGAAAGTATCAAAAGTGTAGAGACATAAAAATGTGTATCTAGTTCTGGTCCAATAATGTTTGGTGTGTCTTTTGTATTTTTGTAAGAACTTATTTGTTGCTGAATTTTTTATCTTTGCTTCAGTCTGCCAATGAAAAGAGTGATGCTGTGGGCTCCACCTGCTGCCCAAAAGAGAAATCTCCATGGTAACCTGTGGCTCTGCTGGTTTCTATATTAAGCAACATCTTCTTCCGTCTAATATTGCTCCAGCTAAACTAACAGAGGGATGTTAAGAAAATATATTTAAAATAAGCTAGTTTTAAAATTTAACATGACTTGATTGAAATAGCCTAATTATAGTTTTAAAATTTATAACTTTTTTAGGCCTATTGACCTTTATTTTACCTGTAGTTAAGGCAGATTGTTTGCCAAGATCTTTGATCTGTCCTCAGTAGCAATCAGTAGGAAGTTCCAGCTTTTCACACTGATCTGTGAAAGCCATGAAGCAGCAGGACTTCAGGACTGTTTTCACTTATTTAGACAACTGGTGTTTGATCTTGTGAACAAATTGAAGGGAGTTTCTAACTTTAGAGAGAGGGTCAGAGACAGGTCCTGGTTGGATGAGCAAAGATACGCCTTATTTGAATAAATTAAAGAAAAGAAGATAAAACTTTCCACATAGAGTAACACATCAGATTTGCACTTGCAGTTTTCCAAATACGTCTTTGCTGTCTGTCTGTCGTTTCCATCTTTTGTCTTTTTCCTTTTCTCAGGTAAATTCATGTGTTTGTGCTCTGAGGTTTCTGATGTTTTGTGATGTGCTTTTCTGGTGATGGTATGCATCTGTCTTGAATAAATGCTGATTACTGTGACGCTGTCATCTCTGTGTGGCTTTTGTTTCCACGCATGGAATCATTGAATCCGGGAACATAAGAGAATATAATAAGCCAGAAGTTAATAATTTTATTCTCTTAACAGGGAGAAGTTGCTCTAGAACCCTTCAAAATGTGAAAAGTTCTAGTTTTGAGTTGTGAACCATTCAGATCCTGAAGTCCCAGAGCTCCTCATGGTGAGACCCTGCTGTGGACACAATAACATACTGACCTGTCATTGAGTTTCCACCTTGATACTTTATCCGGTCAATGGCCTGCAGCAGGGACTGTTTGTTGCTGTGGCTGTTCAGGTGCCACTCAGCGTTAGGGCTGTGACTGAACTGAGTCAAACCTACAGAAAACACACATGAATGGATCAAATCAAACAGGAACTTAGAGCAAGAATATGTTTTGACAATTGATGGGTATTTTTCCTTTC